CTGGGAGTTAAAAGCCTTAAACACTTCTCATGATTATCAGGCTGAGGAAGGCTGCTCTAAGAAGAAACTTGGCTTAAGTTAGTTTACAAAGGACCTTACAATGTTTGCAAAAAGTCTTACACCCAAAATGTAAAAAGTCTAAATGCGCGGCGAAGAGAGGTTCTTAAAAGGCACCCTGACAATCGACATAAAGTATTGGGCGGGGGCTGGGGGGGGGGGCGTTGGCCCAGAGACGGAGATCCAGGATTGAGCCTTAGTAAGCAGCTCGTCTTGTCTCCAGCAAGCAGGTTAAACTCTTGCTCGGGAAAAGCTGCAGAAGTGGCTGCAGAAGAATTTCACCCTGTGAAATTCAGGGTGAGCGGAGCCAGTTCGAGCTGGCCCGGGTTGGGACGAGATCAGACTCTTTCCTCTCCCGGACCTCAAAGACGCCACCTTCCCTCACCAAAGGCAGGGAGGCATATCCTTCCCCTCCGCCCTTCGGAAGATCGAAACAGGAGAGTTTCTCGGCGATTCTGAATTTGAAGGCGAGCGCTTTCAGGATGACGGCCGCATCCTGGGAAGGGGAATCGCCGCTTCTCACATGCTTTCTCTACCCGCAAACCTTTATGTTCCCGCACACGCGCGCCTCGCGCCGTCTGGTTTACCGGGCGGTGACTAATGCCAGATCGCCTAAGATCTTTCCTCCCTGTTGGGGAGCCGCCGCCGCTGCTGCTAAGAGGTAGTCAGCTGTCAAAAAACTCCTCTGCTTAGACCAGTCCTGGCCAGTGGTCCGTTGCCAACGGAGGTTTTACAGCGGATGGACTTTCTTAACAGTTATTGGAAATGGGGAACCCTTTGGCTACCATTCAATAAAATACTAGACGGCCGGTCTCGGAAAAACTTAACTGTAGATGACTACCGGAAAATCTCAGAATTATAGCTTAATTTGAAAGGTTCAAAAATCGATTGCCAAGAAAGCCCAATCAGTTCTGCTCAGAGGACTGTACACAGACAATGGTTTCTACTTCTTAGAATGTATGAGCCTGCCTTCGAAGCCAGTTTTCTCCTACCCCTTCGCCGTTTAACTTTTGGGTTAAAGGCATGCCCCTTTCCGCTCCAAGTGGATCCCTTTGATCTCTTTTACACCAAGTCGAAAGCAGAGACCCTAGAACTCTTTCTACCTTGACTTTCCAGACAGATTTGCTCTGGATCTACCGTAACAAAGAGGGGACAAATATGTATGAGACAAGACATGAAAGCTTTCTCTTTGACTAAGAAGGAATGGAAAAGTAAAGAGTATCTGGAGAGACGGAGAAAGGGATGGGTAGAAGCCAATCCTAAAGGGGACTTCTTAGAGGTAACAGGTAAAATCTGTCTGGAGGCAAATTAGACTCCACATGATTTCATGAGCAGATCCAGCCGATTTTCTTTGCAACAATAGGGAGGTGATTAACCATTACCCCCCTTTAAAAAAAAAGCCCAGTGGAACTGATAGATATGGGATTTCATGGTGACGTCCCATCCCGCTATGAACCAGGTTTTCTTTTCGGGATTAGTGAAGGTCCTGGAAGAGAGGACCTCTGGACAGCTTCTCA